TTCCCTACAGCCTAAAACTCTGGAGTGGAGAATACCCAGGGATGCTTTCGCTTTTCCACATGGGTGAAGGAATTGGCCCTGGGAGATGTTATTGCTTGTAGTATAGACATACCCACAACAGTGTTAGGTCGGTAGGCATCAATAGGGAATGCAACACTGAAATACTGATATTTGCCCCAGTTTAGAGAGCTTAGAGTTGCACTGTCTTATTAAGCATTAATTCTTCCTGGCCACAAATATTGGTAACTATCACTTTAAAAGAAGTATACAACACAGTTAACCTCTGGTGTATCTTTGTTTTAATGTTGATTAGAGTTTTTATGTCCTATCCTGAATGATAGGACAGAGTGCACTCTCAGCAAAATAGGAAGAATTGGTCACAAAGTGGAGGGCAGGGCTGTTGTTTAGGGAGACCTTGACAAGTTGGAGAAAGTCATGGAGTCTAACAAAGGTAAATGCAATGTCTTGCTCTAGAAGTGGAATAACCCCGTGCAGCAGTGCAGAACTGGGGACTGACTGAGTAGGAAAAAGCTTTGCAGGAAAGGTCCTGGCAGCCCAGATGGACAGTAAGTTGAGCATGAGTTGGCAAAGGCCAACTGCACAGCTCTTGGCAAGAATTTAGCTAGCAGGTTCAGGAGGGTGATCCTTCATATCTATTTAGCATCTGTGAGGGTACATTTGGAATGCTGTGTCAAAGTTTGGGCTCCCCGGTGTACAAAAAGACATGGGCATACTGGATTGAGTCTAGTGCAGGGCCACAGGGTGCTTGGGGGCTGGAACACCTGAAATGGTGAAATCTCCATCCACAGAGATGTTCAAAATATGACTGGATGAGGTCCTGACAACCTGCTCTACTGGACCTGCTTTGAACAGGAGGTTGGACGACTTGGCCTCCAGAGGGTCTTTCCAGCCTACATGCTCCTGTGATTCTGATACATCAGTTATGAGTCTAATTTATTATTTTCAGTAATATTTTCTCTGTTAAATTATCTTTTGAATCTTACAAGTTATGGAAAAATTAAATTGGGCACAAATTTTATAATAACTTCATGCTGTTGTTGAAGGATGGTTTATCTGCATATATTAATATCCTGTGCCTGTTCATTTAAAAGTAGGAAGCCTCTTAGAGACCTGAAGTACAGGACCACAAAAGTAATGTCAATCTTTGCTTAAACTGAGGAAAATACTGTTTTCTAATCTACTTATTTGTTGCATTCAGATTAACTCCACCAGTTACTATATCTTTACTTACAATGAAAGAACTTTGTTTGCTCAAAGAGTTTCAAAACAGATTTAGAACAACAGTGACTCAGAAGACATTATCTGATGAATGGTAATTGAGTTGAGATTGACAGAACTGCAAAATGAAATTTAAATTCATAGTGGATGATGTTTAAAAAATGGAAATGTGCTGATAAATTATGAGCCTTTACACAGAAGTTAAGAAATGGGAATGACTAATTTTGCAGTTTAAGAAAAAACATATTTCAAATCTTTTTCCCTTCCACCCACTTTAGCCCCCAAGAAAAAAAATATAAAAAAAGACAGAGAGCTGAAAAGCATTCAAATCAGTGCAAAGAAAAGTAACAACCCAGAGATGTTGCCGAAAAGTCTTTCACAGCTGTGGCTCTCTCCAAAATCTGTAGTGCAGAATGATTTCCCATAGAGAGTAGAAGCTGTTGTTGGAAGAATGAACTGAAAGAGGGTCTGTGGACCAAATCCAGTTCTTTTCCCATCCTCGAAGAGGCATTTTCTTTCAGTCCTAGATCTGATGGTTCAACATCCCAGACACCAATTTGGTGGGTTTATGCTCTGGTCAGATAAAGGAAAACCTCTGTAAAGCAGAAACATACGAGTTGATAATGGATCCATTCTGTAATTGCTACAAAGTTGAAATTAATACTGTAGATTTTACAGGGCATTGATAATTTAACCAAAAAGCAGAGGAAACATAGTACAGAGAATGCGACTAAACCTCTCCTGCAATTCCACTGACAGGAGATGAGTGTGTTTAGCAGATTAAACCCGTACACATGTGGATGTGTGTGTCAGTAAGAAAGGGAACAGTGATTTTGACAAGTTGGAGGGAACAAGTATTATAGAGTTATATCAAAATGTTAAATGTACTTTAAATCTCTGACAGCCCATAATCTGTGTTAAAGACTGAAGTATGAATTAATGTTGAAAAGCAAAATATCAAAATGTTCCAAGTGACTACGAAAGTTGGAGCTTTCCCATGAACATTTATTATCAATTTTAAAGAAAAAAAAATGTTCTTTTTTTCATATAACATACACTCATCTGTCAGAGATCAGTAAAGAGTACACTTGCTAACAACAACAAAAGTAGTAATAATCAATGTAACTTCTATGAATTAAGTATACAGATGATGAATCTAGTAGAATAGCTGCACTATTTAGCTGCATGGTTTGAACATGCTTCAACAACCTTCAGGTTTTTGACCACTACAAAAATTTTCCTATGCCACAATTTGCATAACTCTACTAATATTATTTCAGGGTAAATCAAAAGGGAAGAGGGAAGTCATCTTATTAGGAATCTTGACATTATTTCACTGTATCCATCCCTTGGATTTTGAAAACTGAGCCTTTTTCTAGTACTCCACTTTCAAAAGTTTCAGTGATGGTAATATCTTTCTAAATAAAATTTTCATCAAATATTAAAAATTGTTTTACAGTAACTTATTTATTTTATTTCTCTGTTAATGACTATGTTTGATAGAAAGGTAATTAAATGTTATAAAAAACTATGAACTGCTGGATAATATTTATGAAAATCCAAAATTGTAACATGTCAGTGCATTGTTTTCATGAGGGTTTAAAGAGATTACTTTTTTTAACATAAGTGTCTTCATTACCTTAGCATGTGAAAGATTCTAAATTTTGGTGCTATATTTATTCTCTAAGCAAAAACATTTTCAGCTACTGAAGGCATGAACGTTATTTAAACAAAAGAAAAAACGAAGCATTCCTGAAACAATAGGTATAAAATCAAGTTTTATTCTACCCAATAATAATCAGAAAAGTATATATGTGAATTTCTTTCTTTTCTAGCACCACTAACAGATAAACCACCAAAGCTTTTACACCCTTTGGAGAGTAAGCTAACAATTCAGGAGACCCAATTAGGTAAGTAGCAAGCACATAATTTCTATTCAAATAGTATGAAGGTATTTGATGTGTTAATGTATGATGGTAATGTGATGGTTTGTTGGCATTAATAATTTCATTAAAAAGGTATTAAACATACTTTGTTTCCATGTAGAGATGTATCATATACCATCTAGAAGACTGTTGTTCACAAAAACATTGGTAGTAATTAATACTGAATACTAAGCTCTTGAATATTACTGATACTGGTTTTTACCTTTGCTGAAAGTCTATAGTTATATGTGTACCTGAGCTTTTCGTTCTAAACTTCCCCTTTTCTGTATATTTATATATCTTTACTGTGGGATTCAGTGGGATTTTGTGGTTTAAATTCTGCTTGCAAGACTTTTCCTTGGCGATTAACTTAAGGAATTGCAAAGATGTTCTATAATTATAAATGTTGTCCTGGTCTAAAACCATCCAGCCAACAGTGAGAAGTTAACATAGTAGCATCTGATTATTCTGAATGTACGAATATATATGTAAGGATGACTGGAGAGAAATTGATGCATGAAGAAACCATTTTGTTTCACTTTTTCTAGGCTAGTGGATGGTGGGTATGTTTTGTCACTTTGGTCTCCTACTGCCATACAGGTAATTAAGGCTCCATAGCTAAGTGCACGAGTTACTACAGTTTGCAGGATATAACAATCCATCTCCTTTGTGGATTGACACAGAGGGCAACTTGTAAGAAACAAACAGTCCTCGGTAGGTTACACTGCAATTATGCTTTGGTGTCAGAACAGTAACCTATTGATAGATCTTCTAGCATGTTAGCTACAGAAACAAATGGAAACAAATCTGGTGGTTGTAGAAATCTCATAGGGAAAAAAAAAAAAAAAGAAATAAAGCAAGCAAAACCCAGTACATTTTACAACACACCACCAGAAAAAGCAGAAGGCTTGCAAATTAATTCTGACAGTCATTGCCAGAACATTTTATGATGCTCGCCAGCCTATGGCTAATAGTGGCCAGAGAATAATTCATCTTTGTTTTGATATTCATAAAATATTATTTTAAATGATTCATGTGATTCAGGTAATATTCTGAGATGCTGATATACATGTTTTCAGAAACAATTATCTAGAAAAGGGGAGATGTAACATATTTCCTTCTAGAGCTAATTTCTGTTGTTCTGAAGGTATTTTCTAATATACCAACTCAGAAAACTTTTCCTCTCTGACAATCCTAGATGATTTTACCTTTTCATTTGAACACAAGCCCAGGGAACAGAAAGCAAAGTGACTCCGCACATTTTTTCCTAACTAATGTTGCTTACTGAGATATTTGAAAAAACAAAAGGCAGAACCTTTTTGGGCTTTGACGTTATCTTGTTAAATATACTGTGTGGGTGAGACTATTTCAATAAGAGTGTAATTATTAATGGCTAGCTAGAGGCTTTTTACCTATGATTTTTAGAATTAATCATATCTTTGATTTCTGATAGTTCTAAGAAACAGATTAAATAATTTGAGAAGTGCTGGGTTTGGAAAAGACACTTTTCAGAAAACTAAATAGCTATTGATGAATATGAAAGAGTTAATTTGAAAGCGTCACTTTCAGACACAGATGAGAAAGTCTGACCATAAATGAATGTGAAGCTATAATACTTAGCCTTATATCAAGAAGCTACAAGAATATATTAATTTGTTGTTTAAAAGCCTGTGAAAAAGCCTGTGAGAACCGGAGCAAGTGCAAAAAAGTAATAGTTCCCTGTCACAAAAATTACATTGTTCTACTCTTAGATTTAATGTCTTTGTCCTGCTGGCTAAAGTTTGAAAGGTCTATATTTCACTTTCACCGAGGAAAGCTAGCGTTCATTTCAGGGGCCAGTTCATACCCTGCAAAAAAATGCAACATATTTTAATGTTGGAATAATGTTGAGATTCACTTAGCCACACCTTAGATAGTTACGTAAGCGAGCAGCCTCATACCCACCTGAGGCTTGGGGTGACCACGTGTTGCAGACTGGTCTAGACACTGCCAGAAAACATGTTAGTCCTCCAGAATGTGTTTGGGATGGTGTGTTTGTCCCTTATTTGGAAAATAAATATGTCGGTGGAAGGGGAAGAAGTGGAATGGGTGGCACAGAAAAGGGACTGCAAGGAACTAGGAGCTTGAGGTAGTCCAGGATTTTGTTAGCAGGTCACCAGTCAGTGAGGTGGGGAGCTGGGGCAATCCCCACTCTCCCCCCACATTTCTGTGCTTCTCACCTCACAGTCCTCCACCTTGAGCTGGAAATGTAGCAGGGCATGCCCTGGGGGGTGCGTACATAATTTACAGGGATGTGTGTGCTTCTGCAGGTGCACATGGTGTGCTGAAACATTAATAGTGATTGTTCACCTCAAAATATTCCCCTGCTGGCAGGCCTCTGGGGAGTGGTGCTGGGCACATTTTTGAGGAAGCCCTCAGTAACTCCAGTGTGTTTGCTGCTGAAGGAGCTACTGGAGTTCAGTTCTTAAACAGGGCACCTCCATGCAGTGTCTAAATCAGGGTGGGAAGACTCCAGGCGTATCTCATTCATTTGGCTCCGGCACTGCTGAGTGACAGAGATATCTGACCTCTATTGCTGAGATATATTGGTCTCTTCTATACACCAGCAATTAAAATTAATGTCATGGGACCACAGACCTGTTGTATTATTGTGTTGCATGGCTTCCGTAACAGCATCAGACCAAAAGGTGACTGCACATTAAGGAAGGAGCTTCTCTAAGGGTTGGCTCATAGAGTGTCATGGCATAAGTTGGCAACTGCAGTTTGACTTGCTAAGACAAAAGGAAAGAAACCAGAACTGGAGAACCTGCACTCCTCAGTCCCATGAACCTACAGGCTCCCATCATGCTCAAGCTATCTGCAATCAGTTGTGGGAAAGGTGTCCTGCTATTCACCTGGTGTTTGGGAGAGTGTTAAGCGTGGCTGCACTGCAATGAGCAACCTTAGAGAGTCACAGGAATCTTGAGACCTCATCTGAAATATCTTTTTATCACACTGAATAGTAACCAGAAAAGCACAAGATAGAAGCACAGGATAGAAATTGAAGGAGAAAATAATTTCTCAAAGGCTTTTCTTAAAAGACAGCATGAGACAGCCAAAGCATGAAGCAATTGTTGAATTATTTTTGGCTAGGCTTGATGTTAGAGAAAAGAAAAAAGGAATAAAGGATTTCCCGCACTATATGAATGGACCTAAAAGATAAGTTTGGACAGGCACCTCAACACTTTCTCTGTCATCTGAATGAAATTAGTTTTCCTGAATTTCATCCAACACTAAAAATTTACTCTTGTGACCAATTATGCAGTGATTTTTTTTTTCTATTTGTTTTTAGGGCATTATTTCAATAAAATTAAATTCGCTATTACCTAGTGAATTGGGGCTTGCTTCTTTCTTGCTCTTCACCACACATATTCAAGAAAAAATGTCACTAAAACTGATTTTAATGTATTCTTTCTAAAGTAAGAATACAAAGAATTTCCAGAGGTAAATCATCAGGGAGAGGAGAATGCTACTTCATTTATAACACTGTGTTGTCATAAAAATCTTCCACACAAATTGGCCTTGTTAATGATAAAAGCCCTCCTTAACTAACTTAATCAGCAGCTGTATAAATAAGTTAACTGAAGTGATATGAAATAGCTAACAATCTGTGCCTCTTTTCAGGATGAAAATTAAAATGGAAGAATATCTAAAAGTATTAATTTTTATCGCTACATATTTCATCTAAATGCTATATTCACTCTGTAACAGGAACGGAGTTTTTTTCATCATGATATAGGGATTTTTAAGTTTATCTGTTTGATTACGCCAGCATTCTTTAAACCAAATTGATCTTTTTTTTCAATCATGTGATTCAATTGGACACTTTGGTTCTTTGATCTATTCTATGATTAGATTAACATAATATGGGCAACAGTTTCACGTGGGAATAATCAAAACTGTAAATTCAAAATTTACTTAACACACATAATCTATTTTTTTATTTACCTAAGAGCTGAGGTTTTCCTTTCAGAAGACAACTAGGGTTGTTTTAAAAAGGTTAAAAAAAAAAAATAATTAAAAATTCATTTTTTTTCTGTTTGTACTATTTATTGTAAAAACTTAGTTTTCAACAAACTAATATTTTAAAAGAAAGGTTTTACTGAGTAATTCCTAGCCTCACTATTCTAAAATGTTTTGGTTTAATATCTTAATTTGGGCTAAAGTTCAGTTTAGTATACTGAAGTATACCTAGTCAAATAGTAGGTCTTTCAATGGAAAAAGCTTTGCTTAAAGACTTACTTGCACAGTTAATGATTTAACTGCAGACTGGTTCATGAAAACTCAAATGTTTGAAATGTAGTTTTTTAATCTAACCAAATACAAGCTGACCAAAATCTCATACATTCTGTTTTACACATTCTACTGGAAAGAAAAAAAATAATTTTCAATTTTTTTTCTTTTATTTTCAGCTCAGGTTTCCAATTCCAAATAGAGAAGTATAGCATAGAAGTATGTTCCTAAAGTAAAAAGGGACTGAGGACTTCCAAAGGTATTGACTCAGGGGGAAAAAAAAATCTAGTGAAGAAGAAAACCACATGGTAATAAGGGAGATTTTAATCACTAAGATCTGATTATTAAAAAAAAAGAAAAATGTTTCCTAGGTACCCTATAGTCCTTTTTTTAGATTTTCAAACTTCAGATTGCATTAATCCAACTATTCTGTAGCTGAGGCTGTCCATGAAGGGCCAAACATAGTTTACTAAAAAAGAGATAATAAGTGAGTCAGGAACATTCAACTGCACTAAGGAGAAGTTTGCAGTTAGAGCTCAGTGACAGGATGTCAACTAATTTTCCTTCCTAATTTAATCAAACCCTAAAAGGTCATAATTAAGATAATTAAAAATAGCATATCTATGTATTTTAAATGTTTATTTTTCTCTCTCCGTCTGTGTGTGCATCTGACAATAAGTACATATACATGTATACTTAATCTCTCCCTAGAT